GTGTGTGTGTGTGTGTGTGTGTGTGTGTGTGTGTGTGTGTGTGTGCCCGTGCACGCGCATGCATGTGCATAGACTTTGGTGGGTGATAGAGGCCAGTCATCTGTTCATATGTTGGGGATTGCCATATTAAAGGAAAAAAACCTTATCCTTCTAATTTGTTAAAGACTCATTTAAATAAGTACCATTTCCCAAAGTCTTGTTAATGATTCATTTTGCTTTTGGTGACGTGGTCCTCTCATCACCCAGATCTTGATAATAGGATACAAATGTCATACACTTGAGTCAAATCCTTTTCCCTTTTCCCCCCAGGTCAGTGATGTCAATGATGATGTCAGAAGGGCTGCGGTAGAATCCCTTGGGTTCATTCTATTCAGGTATGAGGCTGCCTAATTCTTAACACTTGGCTTGTTTCAGCATGATTTGTCTTTTGTATGTTCCTGAGTCCATCTTAAGTAAACAGGAAGGGAAGGGAATAAATATTTGCATAACATCTACTATGTGCCAGGCTTTGTGCCAAGTGCTTTACAATTATTACCTCATTGGATACTCACAACCACCCTGGGAAGAAGGTACTGTTATCATCCCCATTTTAGAGATGAGGAAACTGAGGCAGGCAGGGGTGAAGTGACTTCCCTGGGGTCGTACAGCTAGTAAGAGTCTGAGACAAGATTTGAAATCAGGTCTTTCTGACTAGAGGCCCAGCACTCCATCCACCATGCCAATAGCTGCCTCAAACAGGAGCATGAAACCTGAAAAAGAAAACTCCACAGCATCTCAGGGTAATGACCCTGCAAACCCTACTTAAGGCCTAGCCCTGTGCAGTGCTTAGTGGAGCCTGTCGTTCTGAAGAAGTTTGAAAAGTGCTTGAAAAATGAAGGATTTCTCCTTGAGAGCAATGGGTTTGGGTTTCAGGTGGAGGCAGGTCAGACGTAGCAAACAGAGACTCACTTTCCATTTTATTAACATCTTCGCTGGGTCCCTGTGGACCTTTCCAGGCTCAGGTTGCCTGGCTCTTTCCTGCTGGTCGGATGCCGTGTTGTAGGCCAGGCTCTTCTTTTTGATGCCGGACTCTCGGAGTTCTTGAAGGTTTGTCTGTTGAGCCCAAACAGATGTAGCTTGAAGAGGGTGGAATGGCCTTTGTGCCCCTTGGAGGACATGGGTGGGCACAGGGGGCTGCGTCGTCTTCTTCCTTCTCTCGTCTGCCAGCTCTTTGGTGCCTTCAGCCTGCTGCTCGCAGCTTTCCGCCCGATACAGGGTCTGCACTCTCCTCCTTCCTTCCCTTACTCAAAGCCCTCCCTGCGAGGCTTCTCTAGGCTAAAAGGCCCCCAGTTCCTTTCACAGACCCTTCTATGAGATGATCTGGGGGCCCTTCACCATTCTGGTTGTCCTCCTCTGGCACTCTCTAGCCCATCTGTGTTCTAGACTCAGCATGCCAGACATGATCTGAGCAGGGCAGGGTACTGTGGGGCCGTAACCCCCCTACTCCTGGACACAGCACCTCTCTCGAGATGACCTTGGCTTCCTGGCTGCCACGTCATCTTCGGTCAGGAGAATGGGGCTCTAGTCTCAGCTCTGTCACTGAGGTCGCTGGGCCTCCAGATTCTCATCTGTACAGTGTTCTTCCAATCTGAAGGAACCTTCCAGCTCTCCCAGGCTCCTTTGTCTTAGGGCGTGTTGGATCCTCTCCTAGTTTATCGATTCGAGGAGACTAAGAAGACTGTGTTTCCTCTGTCTGTCTGCCCTGGGGCCCAGCCCAGTGACCTGCGTGGCATAATTTCAAGGATAAAGCAGAAGGATTTTGTGTGTTTTGTTTATGTGCTCTTTATAAGGAAATCTGGGCTCCACTGGCCAAGAATCATAGCTCGCACTCCATGGGCGTTATAGTCCACGCCGCACTCTGAAGCCATACGGAGGCTGGGGCCCTAGCCCAGAGTCCCTTCACTGATGAGTTAGGGCTCTTCTCAGCCTGCCCCACTGTGTGGAAAGGTCGGAAGTTTGTCCTGGTGGAACGATCTCATTCTGTGAGGGCCGAGGGGGGTGATGTGACTGTGGGCAGGGATAGTCCTCCTGCCTTTCTTTCCATTGACCCTTTGACAAGCTGTTTGTTGCTAGTTCTGATTTCAAATCACTTTTCAAAAATTGGATAAAGGAAGGAGAGATTTCCTTTCAAATGAAGTCTTCTTGTTACCACAAAAAGAAATCAAAAGATGAAAATTTATCTTAAGTTTTGACTGGCAAACCAAGTGACTTCACACAGTTCATACACGTTCCCCTTCTCTGTGTGCTGAAGGGAGATCTCTTGTCTTCCTTGGCCCCGCTGGATCCCGAGGCACGTCGTAACCAGACCTAGCCGTGTTCCATTGATTGTTTGCACAGATAACGGTTGGCCTTGGACTGTGGGAAGGCTAGGAAGTTTCACACGTGGTCCCTGCTCTGTCTTTTTGGGAGACAGCAGGCAAATGCCCAGAACACCTGGGTGTTTCGTGGTTTCTTTGGCAGAGTTGGTGAACGCCAGGTAGAATAGGCATTCAGAAGGGAGAGGAAGGGCGTAAAGAAGTAAATGGAGGGCAGTGCTCCTCAGGAGGGAACCTGCCCAGTTGAAGGCCAGAAGCTTTGATGGTCATCTTCCTAAAATGTCTTCTCTGATTTCCTGCTTTGTTAAATACACAGTATGCTGAACGTCATTGAACCTTGCCTTAATGACTGCAGGGAATCCTAAGTGAACACCAGTGATTGTGCAGGAGAGTGATATCATACACCCCCATCCCCCAGTCACTGCCTCAGGGTCCTCGTCGCCATCACACTGTTTACTGCAGGCAGTGGGGCTGTTGAGGCCTCTGCTCTGCCCTCAGGGAAATAATCTGGCTCATTTCTTGAAAGAAAAGAAATTCCCAGCAACTTTACCTTATTTTTGACAAATTCCAAGTTAATGGTCTGAGTTGGCACCAAGCCCCTCAGTAAAACGCCTGGGGGCGTGCGCGCTCTCTTAGAGTCAGTAGATGTCTCTCTAGAGCTGCTTTGCCAGCTCTTCTCTGCTTAAAAAGCTCCCAATGCCAGACAGCGCTGGCGAGTTACCCGTGACCTGGTCTGCTGTCAAAGGGAACAACCTGACTGTGATTTCCCATCGTTTTGGGGCCCTGTCTTCCTCAGGGCTTCTACAGGATGTTTTTCCTTTCAGATATCATTGTTCACTCTCTCGGCGTGGGGAAGTTTCCATCCTGTCAACCCCAGGATAGCAAATGTGCCAGTACCAGATCTTTGGGCTTGTGTCGTCTTTTTGTCAGCTTCCAACACACAACTTTTACAGTTATTTTTCGGTTGTGTGTCTCTTCTAAAATGCTTTTTTAAGCAGTTGGCCTATGACCAGTCTCCCAGGCCTCTTGCACCTTTGTACAATCAAACAACAAGCTTTTATTAAGCACCTGCTATGTGCTAAGCACTGGTAGGTGCTTAGAGGTAGAGCCAGTTGTTAAATTTTTACTGAGCATTTACATTTCAGAAATTGGCAAACACTAAAAATCAGGACTTCGTTTATTGTTTTGTTGATTTGTTATACTTGTTTTTGTCTTGCCTTAAGAAAATGATGGAGACAACGTGAATAATAATCCAGATTGAATTTAAAGATGCCACACGCCCATTTTTTTCCCTCTAGAAAACTGGTTGTTAAACATTTACCAGCATACTCCTGCATATGTCTCTGTGTGTATGTATGCATGTGTATATACATAGCATAATTATAAAGTGCATAAATACAGATATGTACAGAATAGTTCAATCCAAGGTAGTTTATCAGGGGGGACATTTGTGTTTTGGAGGGATCAGTGAAGGCTCGATGTTGGATAGCAATCTGGGGATGCCTACGGAATCCTCGGAATCATGTTTTTAAGTGCATAAAAATAAAGTACATAAGATTACTGAGGAAACCAGGTATATTTAAATACATTTATCAAACATTTTTTTAAAAGAGCCAGTTCATGGACTGCAGGGGACGAAGCCCAGGTGCAGAAGATAGCGGCTGACCTGCATGACCAAGGCAGAGAAGGCCTGTGTGCAGCCGAGGTGGGGAGGGAGGGCGTTCCAGGCTTGGGGATAGACATCACAAAGGCCAGAGACGGAAGACGGAGAGGCCGCTTGGCGGAGCACAGTGTATGGAGAAGGGTGATGTCCGATGAGGCTGGAAGGAGAGGCCCGCTTGCCTGGCGCTTTAACAGCTAAACGGGAGTTTCTCTCTGAAACAATAGGAAGCCACTAGAGTCAATCCAGGAGAGGAGACGATGGTCCGATTTGCTCTTAAGCAGCAAAGGGTAGGCTGTCCTGAAGTGAGGAGAGCCTTGAGGCAGGGAGACCAGGTGGGAAGCAGTTAGTCTCAGTGAGAGGGGGTGTGGCTCTGAACTGGGGGAGAGGAGAGAAGGGGTTGGCTGCGAGACATATCGTGCAGCAAAACAGCAGGATTTGGCAGTGGATTGGCTGTGTGGGGCGAGGGAGCAACTGGAAGGATGGGGCAGAAATAATGACATGAAGAAAAGATGGAGGGGAAAAATCATCTGTTCGCGGCGGGCGTGATGAGTCTGAGATTTCTTGGGGACATCCGGTTTGAAATGTCCGGGAGATAATTGGTGGCATTGGGCTGAAGCTCAGGGGAGAGACAGGAGCTGGATGTGTATGTGTCTGCATGTGTAGACAGATTGGTATGTAACACACCTCTAGCTTAGCTTCATTTACATAGGGATGATCATAAACCCTGGGGAGCCAATGATGTTACCCTGGGAGAGTGGAGAAGGAGAAGAGAAAAAGATGTGGGACCAGCAGTGAGTGAACGCTCCCGGCTGTGCTCATGAGTAAGAGCTTGCACTGGGACCCTCGGCAGACAAGAAGATGAACTGCCGATGCAGGGCCATCGAGCATCGCGTGAGAAGCCACGCAGCTGAACAGCTAGGCTGCTGATCAGCCCTTCTCACCCTTGCCCCACAGCAAGTTTTGATCCTTACCTTCTCTCTCCTCATCTTCCACAACACTTCTTGGCCTGTGCTTCCAGATGAGGACAGAACTTCTCAACTGACTGAGAAGATTGGGGCCATTGAGGGGAATTTTTCAAGGAGATTGCAGTCTATTAATGAGATTGGTGTTTCGTTTTTTTGTAACCTTGGGACACCTACCATGGTGCTTGGCACCTAGTGGGGGCTTAAGAAATATTTGTTGATTGAGCAAACGCTGTATTTACTCATTTCGCTAAGGTCTGCTGTATCCGGGGCAATGTGCTGGGTTCTGCTGTGCCAATGCAAAAATAGATGGCTCAAGTTGAAGAGGTGTCAGGTACACTGCAGTGGTGGATGGTGGCATCAGGGAAGCCTTCAAAGAGGAGGTGGCTCGTGGG